GGTACCATTACTGTATTGTGCTATGTCACTGAATACCGCAAGAATTCTGCTAATAACCTTTTTATAGCAGATGCTTCGGGAATCATTCGTTCCCGAAGTTTAGATTCGTCCTTAAAAATTTTTTTGAAAGGATTCTATCCTCAAAATACATCTCAAGAATTAGGCCTTCCTCCCTTTGAAAAAGAAGATGTGCTTTTGGTAACTGGAAAATTTCGTACTATTGAACATATAGATGAGAACGGTAATAAAGCTCCTGCCCTGAAAGTAAGTTAGATATCGAACGATATCTTTGTTTGTTTGTTCGTATGATGTATACGAATAAGAATCTGCTTAATTCAGAATCCAGATTGTCCGTTTCTGAATCATACCTGACATATATATCATGTCACGTATTTTTTATACTGTACTGCTAAATAATATTAAAAATCTGTTTCATCTTTTAATAGTTTTTATATTTGCAAAAAAAAAACCTAATAATTTTTTTACCTTTTTTTTAAAAAAATACAATTAATAATATAAAAGATAATCTTAAACGACCTTGTTCCCATTAAATTAGATCCAAATAACGTTCCGAGTTTTCCGATATTGATTAATATGACCGCAGTAGTAGATGATCCTCCCGTCATAAGTGATGATAAAGACGTTACGATGTCTGTCATAATGCATGACCATGTAGACCAAGAACCGATAAAAATTCAAATTGAATGCTATTATTCAGCGCTTGCGCCACATTTAATGCGTATAACTGAAATTATTAAAAAAAATTCTGTCCTGTATATTAATGGTGAACTTATATTATATGATGATACTATTTATGTCCATGTTAAATCTTTATCCTTTCCGGAAGGACAAAAAAAAGATTCTAAAATTTCTGCAAAACCGCCGTGGGAATCTGAAAGTTCAACCGAATCAAATAAACCATCAGTTGCTAAAACAATAGCAGCAAGAGTAAAAAATAGTATCAGGAGAAATAAAGAACCAATCTCTTCTACGACTAACCCTTATCCCCAGGCTAATAATCGTCGAAAGATAACAGATCTAGCAAAAGAAGCTTTAGCCAATTCAAATAAGTCAAGTGCATCTACCTCAGCACCTGCTAATAAGTCAAGTGCATCTACCTCAGCACCTGCTAATACTTAAATTAAATAATACTATATTCGGTAAGATTTTTTTTTTTTCTTTTTTTTTTCTTTTTACAGCTAATTTCAAAATTTGTGGATCACTTTAAAAATCTATTCCGAATTATTATCGAGATAGCAGGAGCAGGTAAATACGATTTCTATATTATGTATTATTAATATCGATGTCAAATAAAACGTCTAAAAAATCATTCTTTAGAACTTAAGTACCTGACATGAATTTTTACAGTCGTCTGCGAATTATAAAATTAGCTGCAAAAAAACAACTCGCCAAAACCCATTTTTATTAATACACCCTAAAAAACAACTCACTTTAGTATGATCATGTGAAATATCATCAATCTTGTAATCAGTAAATTTTTAATAAAAGTACTGAAAGTACAATACTTATATTGACTTGCCTTTAAACTAAATCGATATTTTAATATAAATATAATAAATGCAACCGTATTTTTAACATTATCCA